AAAAAATATATATAAAAAATAAAATTTGTGCAAAGTCAATTTACACCCCATTATGATCGTCATACAACTCACCTTCCTGAGATTCTGGAACACAAATTTCATTTACCCTTGCCTGACTTGTTGTTATAAAAACTAGATTCATAAACAATAATAAATTTGATTTATGTGCATACATTTTTTAGATGTTAATGCCATGGACATCCCTCATTGTGCATATTTCAATTACATCAGACATTGTGTTCTATAGAACATATGGGTCAAGTGTGGACAATCAATTAAGAATAAACCTTTCCACAGCTGGATCACTTGATAGATCAAGATCCCAGCTCCTGTACAAGAATCCCTGAAACCTTTCCCTATACTGAGTAGTTGGAATAAGACAACCGCTGCCATCCGACTTAAACATAAACCAAATTTGAGCCCCATATTGAGAATGTCGACATGAGTTTAATCTGTAGTCCCTTGTAGCAACCCTTCCAAGATGTGATTAAATTCACAGACACTCTCCTCGGAGAAGACTCGGGGCGGCACAACCGTTTCCAACAAATCCACCAAATTAAACCATGGGAGAATCCCTTAAAGACAAATTCATTGATGGTGTGACCCTGTGGTTGACTTTTCGTCTCATGGTGAGGGTGCTGAGTGGAGATCTCTTGAGCAGGTCTGTCTTGGTCTAATGGACACTGAGCAGCAGTGATCAAGGCTAAGTCTCGTGAGGCTGCACCTAGGTACGATACTGGACAAGCTATTTGTGGTGAGTGTGGAGCCGTGATTTACTCTTCAAACGCAATGCTAGTGGTTGGAACACAAGCCTAAGTGTGTCTGAATGGAGGAATTGGTGGGGCAACATTTGGAAGTGAGGGTGAGTGAGAGTGAAATGAAGTCTGCACAACTATTTCAGTCTTCACTGGTCTGAAGCCCAAGTCTGGTAAAAGTCTGTCCAGTCTAGTAAGCTCAGCTGATAACAGTCCGTATAATAACACGCAAAAGAATACTGAAAATGATGTCAAGAGCCATGTTTTGGCCTGTAGACTCTAATGCTTTGGGCACAGACTGAGAAAGTGGTGTGCATGTGTGCATGCATGTGCGTGTGTGCGTGTCTGTGTGTTACTAGTAGGACTAATGACAGTATTACAGTACAAGCCAACTTAGATACCACTCAACAGTGGTTACATGGATACCCCGCTCAGACGTAGTATACTCAGTGTTCCTGTCTGCCGGTATTTACCAGTTTTTTACCGGTAAAACTGGCCTTGGACCGGTAATTCATGTCACTGCCAGTCCCTGTTGACCGACAAAAAAAGTACCTTATCAAACTCTGTTGTTGACCAAAACATCGTTGATATTCAAATAAGTATATTTTTCGAACAAAGTCAGCTTGTCTATTTGTGTCAAAATCTTCAAAAATAGAGGAGAAAATTGTGACTGAACTTTGTGTGAATGACATGTAGATCGAACTAAGTTACTTCAGAGATGACATCATTGCACTGAACATGATGTTGAAAGAATTAAAACATGGACATTTTCATACCTTTTTTAGTTTTTGAAAGTTGGGACTGACATAAATTAGGGGGACAGGTAATGTTTAGAGCAGTTTCAAAAGCCAGTGGGAACACTGATGATGACTACAAGCATCAGTTGGTATCACATGGCTGGGGATCGAACCCAAGACCTTCTGCTCTCTGTCTGTCTACTTGATCACAGAGGAATTCCCATTTCGGAAGTACATGACACGGCTGGGGATCGAACCCACAAACGTCTGCTCTCATGCCAGCTGCTCTACCACCAGACCACAGAGGCAGTCCAGTTTAAATGTAGTTAATATGACAGTCAAAAATCCCTGAACATATTTTTCATTCATTTTGAATTCAAAAACAAAAATGTGTTTTTCTTACTGTGAGCATGTTTGTCACAAATAAGCATATCATAAAGAACTTTTATTACATATTTTTCTTTTAAATTTTTTGGGGAGTGGAGTGAAATGATCACAACACGTCTCAAACAAATTAATTCAGGCAGGGTTCAGATCGGTTTAATGGAAAATGATTCTCATTCAAAACGGTTTCTAAAATCCAGATAACCTCACCAAGAAGTATCAGCCAAATATTTTCACATTAATGACCCACAACCCATTCTGCCTCCTGAAAACTATCATTTGGGAAAGTGTATTCTACATTCACCATTCAACATGTTTCTTATCTGATATTAACCTTGATGTGAAAAACGAGTAAAAAACCCATGACATTTTCTCCTATAGATTTGTCTCTTCCTTTGAATTTCTGTGCCCCGGTACTCCACTGAGCCAGTCTGACAGTGCAAACCTCAAGGACTTTCTGTGTAAGCCAGAATAATGTATCTGCAACAAAGCCACCATCAGAATGACCTACGGCATGTCCGACTCACTTCAAGCTCTCTGTACAGTTTGCCCATGCTGAACCATGTACCAGTTAAGGATAGCAATAGATTTAATTAAACCTCAAACATACATCTAAGTTATCCTCCAAGAACCAAATTGAATGATATTCTGCACTAGTTCTTCTTCTCCAGACCTGCTGGCTCTACAGACAGATAAATATCCTTAGTTTGTTCAATATTTCTATTTTGTTTGAAGCCTTTTAGGGCTAAAGGTCTTTTCTCAATTAATCTTGGAACAATCTGTTGTTATTGACCTACTTGTTCCAAACAGAGCCATATAATGAATTTGATCTTTAAAATGGGGAGATAAATCTAACCTGCAACAACTTTCAATCACTGAAGCTACTCTTCTGAAAATGCTGTTCCCACTGAGACCACGAACATCTGTCTGAAGTTGATGCTCAGGATTCCGTATCAATCAAGGAAGTCACATCAATAAATTGCTTTATTTGATCCGAAAATTAGTTCCTCTAGCTGATCAATTACAAAAGACAAAACGGCCTGTAAACGTATTTCTCATAATTAAATGGAAACCAAAATGACCAAAAAATTCTGATCAAATATTAAATGGAATTAGAGAATCATTTATTTTTTTTCCAATTAGTAAAAACATACAGCAACGACCGTAATCAGTGCACTCAATAAACACAGAAGTAAAATATCGAAGTAGTATCAAGTGAAAAATATACAAAAGTTCTCGGATATTAGCAATTTTGGAGGAAAACATAATCCAGTAACAAGTTGACCTGAACTTTCTTTTTCTTGATAGAGCTTTAAAATAGGATCTGTTCTCTTTCAAATAGATTACATAAGGTAGAACATAGCGTGACATGGGGACATTCATCTTAGCTGATTTCTCTCAGTGATATCCTTGAGGGCAGGGCGCCAAGACTTATGCAGTCAAGAGAAGCAAGGTGATCATGACTCTAGTCGTATCATTTTGTTTGTTTGTTTGTTGTTTAACGCCGCACTCAGCAATATTCCAGCTTCATGACACCAGTCTGTAAATAATCCAGACCAGAAAACCCAGTGATTTACATCATGAACATCAATCAACACAATTGGGATTTGATGACATGCATCAACCTCAATCAGCAAGCCTGACCACTTGATCCCGTTAGTCGCCTCTTACGACAAGCATAGTCACCTAACGGGATTGGGTGGTCTGGCTCGCTGACTTGGTTGATGCATATCATCGTATCCCAATTGCGTAGATCAATGCTCATGATGTCAATCACTGGATTGTCTGGTCCAGACTCGATTATTTACAGGCTGCGGTCATTTCACTTGAAAATTGCTGAGTGCGGCGTTAAACAACAAAAGAAGTATGGAATACATGGTCAATGCAATATTGCATAACAACATCAAGCCATGACAGTTCTTAAACCATGCCTGATGAGAAGCTGGATGTTCCACAGTCTTATCAATTTTCTGTAACTTTGAACAAATCATGCCATGGAAATCGCCACATGAGACATTTCTGATATTTCTCCACGCATATTATCATTTCTGTAATGCATACATGTAGAACTATCAATGGACAAAACCTTGCTGGCTAATGAAATAGCCATTGAACAAACTACTATGTGGGAACATGGATATCGAGCAATCTAACATCAAACAAAGACAAATGTTCCTGTATATCGAGATGAAACACAATATTTCATCTGTCATGTATTTCTTAGAACAGTAATGAATAAAGTGGCCTATTGTAGCCTATGATCTGGTCTGCATACACAACTCAAAGCTTACTTAAACTGCCCCTTTGGCAAATAACCTATACCATTTATTTAACTTTCCTAACAAGCCTTGCAGACATCACATCCCTTTGTATATGTGGCATAAAGTTTGTAGATTTAACAAGACACAAGTGCACTGTTTTTTCAGAGCTGAAATGAAAATCTTTACTGCTAGGCTGCGTAGCTTACCTGTATAATGTCACAAAACTTGTTTATTCTGATACCATCAATGTTGCATGAAGATCTGACGTGGAGGTCAGGTGAGCTTCCCGATCAGCATCAAGGTTTCTTACTTCTCAGTATGAGTGAGCGAATCATTGAAACAAGCATAATTGATGTCTGTATCTCTATAACGAACATAATCAGGGAGCTCCGAATGCAAATTAATAAAGCTGTGCAAATGCATTGTTGTGGATATTTCATACATCCTATCGTTTCTGGAGCCCATGGCATCTACACCAATAGGGTGTATCATCAATGGTATATTTGTGTTCTGTGGCGGTTTTCACTTGCAAAGATCAAAATTTCCCAATCAATGAGGTTAAGAAATGAGGCTGAATTGTTTTCAAAAGCTGATGTCTGATGACCCACACATCCTTCAGTTTGATTGAACAGCCAAGTTTCACTCAGGTCTCACCTGACGCGACATCTAATGGAAGTGTCATCAGGTATTCATGCAGGTATCATATCAGAGTCAAAGATCAGATTCCAAGGAGATTTCATCATGACCCTTTTGTTTCAGAGAAGTCAAAACTGTGTAAGCTTATGGTAGACAATGACCTGATAACACTCAACATGATATAAGCTCACATGAACCATCCATTCAGATACCAGATAAGTACTCACCGATTGCTGCTTTACCCCATACTTCAACAATGAACTCTTCTGTACTGTTGTCTTTGCTGTCTAAAGGACTCCGGCCAAGAGAATGTTCCATCTCCCATAGAATTTTAGGGGGTTCATGGTGTTGGATAAAACTGTTTTCATTTTCAAACTCTTCACCCCATGGATTCCAATTCTCATCATCAGAAATTTCTGAAAAGACAAAAATGGACTTAATTTTCAGTAAGGATTCAGAGTTATTATGACATATGACATAAACAATTATGACAAGTCCAATAGAGAGTGAGTGAGTATGGTTTTACACCGCCTTTAGCAATATTCCAGCATAATCACGGTGGGGAACCCAGAAATGGGCTTCACACATTGTACCCATATCAGGAATCGAACCCGCTGGTGATCAGGCTCGCTGACTTTGTTGTTGCATGTCATTGTATCCCAATTGCGTGGATTGATGTTCATGATGTCAATTACTGGATTGTCTGGTCCAGACTCGACCATATTGCTGACAGCAGCGTTAAACAACCAACCAACAAACAAACAAACGAGAGAGTGAATCGAGTCATCGTCCAAGGCAATCAGCAATAATTCTCTTAAAGTCCAAGAATGTTCAAACCTAGGAAATTATCCATTGGCATTATTTTCCGTAAATTTAACTCTCATGAACATCTGGGCTGTGATAACCTAAGATCGCCTAAAAGACATTTTGCTAGACACAGGATTCAGACAAGCGTCAAAAGTTCCTGGCTGCATTTAAAGGGGAACAACATTCAGGAATATCCCAGTCCCAGTAAGTTTGATTCAAGTTGTTATCACACTATATTGACCATGCATTTTGGTCTGGCAGATAATGGTTACAACAGAAACACAATGTGTCAAGCTACAACTCCCACAGTTAGACAAGGCAGTTGTGCTTGGCCTCCTTTAAGGCAGTTGTGCATGCCCCCCCCCCCCCCTTAAGTACATCTCCACTGCATACCCACAGGACTACACAGACAAAGCCATGTGATATACTGTTTAATGACAAAAATTCACTTGCTATTAATAATTCCATGATTACACTACAAATCACTCATGTTCACATTTCTTTCTGAATATGCACATATTTCTTCTGAAATTTGTATGCTTACATAAAGATACAACTTCAGTCAACTTCAGTGTATGCATGACCAGATCGTTTATATGTCTATCTAAAAACTCTTTGCCAGGGCTCTGGTAAAACAATTCCCAAGCTGACATTTCGTACCCAACTCTCAAGACCAACAGCGGATACCCAGGTAGTAAATTTGGACTCGTCCCAGACCTAAATTCTCCACAAGACAATTCCCCACTCAAAGTAGGACATTTCCCCATACCCTAATGCAGGATATATAAACTTAGAAGAGGATATTTTAAATGAATATAGTCTGTCATGTTGTCTGACTAGATATGATTTATGATCTTAACAATCACCGGCAGTGGCCATGTAGACAATTGCCCAATGAGCATGCTGAGTACGTAACAGTTTATTATGAGAGGAAATCGGTATTGAAGGCTTACTACCATGCTTTTAATCCTTCCATTATCTCTAAGATCTTCTCTTACCCTTCTACTAGTATAATAGCAAAGAAGAACATCAGATTGTGAAATGCCAGTCCTACGAAGATGAAAGGAAGTCACCAAACCAGTTCATGCATTCGGTACCAAAGAAGATCAGATTTAGTTAGATGTCCATTTGGGGAAATGTCTGGGTGTGGTATTGTCCGCTTGGAGAATTGTCCGTGTGGGGAAATGTCAGTGTCTGGTATTGTCCGCTTGGAGAATTGACAATATGGGGAAATGTCAGTGTCTGGTATTGTCCGCTTGGAGAATTGTCCATTTGGGGAAATGTCTGGGTGTGGTATTGTCCGCTTGGAGAATTGTCCGTGTGGGGAAATGTCAGTGTCTGGTATTGTCAGCTTGGAGAATTGTCCGTGTGGGGAAATGTCAGTGTCTGGTATTGTCCGCTTGGAGAATTGTCAATGTGGGGAAATGTCAGTGTCTGGTATTGTCCGCTTGGAGAATTGTCCATGTGGGGAAATACCAGTGTCTGGTATTGTCCGCTTGGAGAATTGTCAATGTGGGGAAATGTCAGTGTCTGGTATTGTCCGCTTGGAGAATTGTCCGTGTGGGGAAATGTCAGTGTGTGGTATTGTCAGCTTCACACTTTTTCACAGCAAGAGCACCCACCATCACCTGGCATCATGTGTGATGACACACTAAAACACACAGGGAGTTGTCTCCCTTGGGTAGTCAGTCAGCAAGCTCCTCACAGCGATAGTACTTTCCTGGAGCTCTCTATACTATCGCTGCCACCAGTCAAAACTCCCCACTGTGAATAGGTGGCCACAACCATGCTTGGAGTTGAACTAGCAACCGAATGACCGTTATGTTTACAAACAAGTGACGACTGTTGTGACGCCGAATACACTTATCGCTGCTAAATTACTTTCTTCGTTTGTCAATTTGAATTTCTGTTTCATTAAAACTATCATGTTATTGATATAGTAAGAATGTAAGGGAGAAGTTGGTTGATTTTCCGTTAGTCTGCAATCTCGAACCAATCTGATTATCAAAACAACAAAGTAAATTCATCTGGAAAACATGGTCAGTCGTAAACCTTTTCAAATTGAAATATGATGGCATTCCCAAAGACAGAAACAAAAGTATAAACGTTACTACATATGGGGTTGGAGGGCAAATTTCAAGAATCTGGAAATTTGCCCTCAAATTCCAAATTAAGTACTGTTTCTACTTTTGTTTATGTCTATGGGAATGCAATCACAGTGAATTTTGAAAAGGTTTACCACCGACCATATTAACTTTTCGTTTGTTTGATCAGTTTGGTTCGAGATTGCAGATGAACGGAAAATCACCCGACTTCTCCCTTATTACTTTTTATTCTTACTACACCAATTACATGATAAAAATGAAATAGAAATTGTAGCTGACAAACAAACAAAATAATAAAGCAAGGGTAAGAATATTCGGCTCCACAGCAGTCATCACTTGTTTGTAAACATAACAGTCATTCATGCGATGCGAGTTCAACTCCAAGCATAGTTGTAGCCACCTATCACAGTGGGGAGTTTTGCATGGTGGCAGCGATAGCTCAGAGAGCTCCGCAACGGATATTGCTGTGAGGAGCTTGGTCAGCCAACTGTGAGTTGTCTCCCTAGGGTAGCTGCCAACTGTGAGTTGTCTCCCTTGGGTAGTCAGGTGATGGCATCTGTGGAAACCATGAATAAAGCAACCTTTCCGAAAGCATGGGGACATAATAAATCTGATTCCCCATGGAGTGTTAATGAAGAAATTATCCCTGACATCAGAAAGTTATCATCGATGAAACACGGCCATGTTGACATTTAAATTATGACAAGGTCAACATAGCAACATAACAGTCTGATACATGAATAAAGAGACACAGAGGCAGTATTCTGGAATCTAAAGTTTCTTTTCTTGAATCACTACTGGCAGTGTGTCAATCAGACATAAACTTCCATGCATCAATACACTCAGGATTAGAAATTAACACAAGCCCTAGGCTAGCACAAATCCTGTGGTAAGTACAAATTTCCCCATTGTTTAAACATTACAAGGGCAATTTGTCTTTACCCAGGCTAGTAAAACTTTTGAGCATTGTTCTAAACCTGTACACATCATGACATATCGGGACTTCAGTGATAAACATCATGGTGAGCTATTGACTGCACAGTGACCATGGCGCAAAGTCAAAACATGTGCCTGGAGCACCCTAACCTGGCACAGTCACTGAAGGAAATAACGATAAGATCTTATGGATTTCTGCCCCCCTTTGTGTCGGATGAGGAAGCCAATAAGCGCCCAATAGGCTTCTTTGAAATAGCCCCTGCAATCTTGTTTGTACACTTAACAAGGTTAGAAAAAATATCATATGCTGTGTTATTGAATCCTTCAGGCATGTCATATAGCCTGAAATAACATCATCATAGAATATGTTATTGTGTAAAAATCACACGAGTCACGCCAGATGTAATTGAACAGGCAAGGACAAAACAATAAGCCAAAAGCATGTAACAGCAATTTGAGCTGTTCTGACAAGAATCAATTACTGCCTCACCCCGTGGTGATCCTTGCACTTCCAGACTTTCTTATGAATGTGCCCAGTAGCAGATCACTCGAGCCCCTTCAAAAGTTTGAAAAGTCAGAGTATCAGACGGCATCCCCATGCAACCAATAGCTGGTGGCAAATAGCAGCAAATGTAGACAGAAGCCAGAAAAACTTAAGGCAGTGTTTAATGAACTTTTATGGGCGAAAATCCAAAGCAAGGAATAGTAGACAGCTTTAGGGTAGGTTAATTCCATTACAATTTTCCAAGAGGGCAGCTCATTCCACCGACGTACCTTCCAGAAACTAACTCTGCCACATCTACAAACTAGGGTCTCATGTCCACGACGCTTCAGTTCAGGGGCTACCTCGAGCAGTCGAGAACAAATTAATCCTGTCGTCAACACCCATGAATAGCATCTTCTTAATCCCTCCGTGAGCAAACACAAGACCCGATCACAAAGGCAAATTGTGGGGCCTCAATTGGAAAGGTGTAAAGGAAACTAATGCCCCATACCCTGAGCAGGAATCAATGCTTTTACTGCAATTGCTTGACAGTAATAGAAGTTAATTTGCATTAACCACTTGAATGAGTGTGACTGAAAATGTATTGATCTTCTCAATATCTCTAATCAATTAAGTTAGATTTCCGTTCCAATAATCGGCAAACACTGTCATTTTTCCACGTGGCCTCCTACCCTCCAGATGCAGACGGATGGCAAGATCACTACATCTTGCCCAACGTCCATTTTTGATCAATGCTCGTCTTACTTCTGTCTACAAGACCACGTGAGCTAATCTAACCTGTTACTAAACTTGGAATAGATTTTTTTCGGTGAAGACGGCTAATTTGTCCACCAAATTCTCTTCGACTGAATGCGTGAACCGTATACATTTTCGACATTACCACTTTTCGATCCAGACAGTTGTGTCGTCAGGTGTCTAATCATCTGTATCAGCAATGATCATCACTGGAAAGGTCATCTAAACAATGTACACTACAGGTTCTTGCAATCCATACACAAAATCAAGATAGGCAGGTTTATTGTGGGCTGTAATCTAGCCATGGGGACCCATATTGACTGAGAAC